TATACACACACACTCACACACATACATACATACGTGTGTGTTTTTTAATGTTTCAAATGCATTAATTGTATTCATTGTAATAATTGAATCCCTGACCTGTTTTTCTACATTTCCTGCAGCACATCACAACTGCAAATACAATCCAAAGAGATCCAGCAGCAGAGATCAGCAAAATGTAAAACAAGGGTAGGCTCTGATCTGTAATGGACAAAATGAGTTTGTTAATCTGACCTCAAGATTTAGATCTTAAAGGGATAGTTCACTCAAAAATGAAAATTACCCCATGATTTACTCACCATCAAGCCAATATGATGACAAGCCATATGCGTAGCGTAAGCTCAGGTGAGAAGTTACAATTGTGGAAGTGCAGTGGAGAGAGCAAAGCAAAACACTGGTCACGATTTATAAGTACAAAATGAGGAATTGTAAAGAAAAATGTTGGAGGATTTCGATATAAGCCAAGAGGAGACTGGTTTTCCTTTGCTGTCAACAAAACTTGCCAAAGATTAGCATATTCTCACCAGAGTTTACGATACGCCTACGTCAACGTCATCTGCTGGAACAGTTAGTGGAAGCTAGAAATTACAGTTTATATAGTTTCAAATATGGATGTTTTTCTTACACAAACACATTGATTCAGAAGGCCTTTATTAAGCCCCAGAGCCGTGTGGAGTACTATTTATGATGGATGGATGTACTTAATTTTTCTTAAAAATCTCGACCACCATTCACTGCCATTATAAAGCTTGGAAGAGCAAGGACTTTTTTTAATATAACTCCGATTGAATTCGTCTGAAAGAATTAAGTCGATGGCTTGAGGGCGAGTAAATCATGGGTTAATTTTCATTTTTGGGTAAACTAATCCCTTTAATGATTGTATATTTTAATGTTAAAAGCAGAGATCAGCTTAATAAATAATAATTATTATCACCACTATTGTACCTGAGTGAATATGACAGATTTGAGGGATATTGAGATATTGAGTCTGGTTGCTGATGGGATTGTTGAGCACACAGCTGTAGGTGTTTTTATCCTGATATTCCACCTCCAGAGGTAGAGAGAGACTGATGCTGAGATCAGACACACTGATGCTGGACAATAAACTGTTTCCTTTGTACCAGGAGAGAGTCACATGACCCACATTCACCACTGAACACACCAATGAACAATTCTCCTGTGATGATGATGATGAAGATGATGTTATAAGATTTTGTGAAGAATCTCTGGTAATGTTAGGTGTGCGCAGACGAGCTGGAAAACATGAGAATAAACTAGAAATATGGGTAAATCTAGTCAACAATCTTCTTTTCAGTGTAGTGTGACGGTCAGTGAGTGTTTCCATCAACTCAAACTTTAAAATTATTAAACATTTCAATTTGTAAGTAGTTAAAGACATTTTAGAGGTTCAGTACAAGATAAGCTCAGTTGAGCATTTAAGCATCATTTACTGCTTACATTTAATGATTAATTTAATTATTACATTTAATGATTACCAGAAGAAAACAATATCCATTTGCCAAAATGTGACACTTACAATGGAAATGAATTATTATTATTTTTTTATATCAACATAATGCTGTTGATTGAGCTTAACTTTTAGTTAATCTGATATATTGTGTTAATAAAACAAGAACAAATAAGCTTTTTACTCACCATAGACAGAAACATTGAATGTTTTTGTTGACCGTCTTGCTCCACTAATCTTTACTTCATAGAGTCCAGCATGTTTAGTTGTGATGTTTGTGATGTTCAGAGATCCAGTCTGTCTGTTCAGCTTCAGTCTGTCTCTGAATCTCTCATCAGGGAAGATTTGGTTCTCTCTCTTGATTTGAGCTATGAGAGACTTTTTATATCCATATTTCCACAGTATGTCTTCATCCTCATGTATTGCAGTAGCATCAGTGTGTAAAGTGACAGAATCTCCCTCCATCACTGACTCACCAAACACGCCTGATGAACAAACAGGAACAAATGAAGACTTTTGTTGGTTTACAGAACCAGACATCAGTTCTAGCTTTGTATCTAAATTGGAACTGACATCTCAATCTGTACATTGTTGTGATAACTAATACCTCACAATCATAATGATTTGATGTATCTGAAAAGAACAGCAAATTAATGTCTTGTAATTTGAACAGTAGCAGCAGCTTTATTTATCTGAAACAGGAACAAATAAAGCCATAAACATGATTTAAAACTTACCAGTCAAACACCACCAGCACAAAGAGAACAAAACAAAAGTGCAAACCATTTTCTTCAGTTGTTCAGTGAAATCTAGAGACTCAGTCTCTTCGTGTGTTGTGTGAATCCTCCCACAAATAGAGCTTGACTCTCCTAGTGTGTCAAATGCATACACTCTTTTCACATGATATATAATTTATAAATGATCTTCTGGCACTTATTCAGACTTTAATTGGTTTTAATAGTGGAACCCATTCTTCAGTTTTATCATTTAACAAGTATCAATTATAATATATGATATTTAGTTTTCTTACAATTTAATGTTAAAGAAGAAGAGTGGAAAATTGTAAAATTAGATTAGTCAATGTAAAATTCAAAATAAATCTCATGTTTTTAAAATGGTTTTATAATTTAATTGTTACAAATGGTAACAAAAAAGGGGGGTAAAAGAAAAGGGGGGGAAAAAGTAATCTCTCTTTGTCTGTTGTACTGAGTGTGACACAGCTCAACAGAGTCAAACTGAAACCTGCTGCGGTCTGAAGTGTGATTTGATCCGTGGACAAACATCTTGCATTGTTTGATCTGTGCTTAGTTTGCAGGTGAAGAGCTTCTTCCTGTTCTGCAACTATGAACCTCACAGTTAATCCCCTCACAGATCAATACATTCTTACCAATTATAATTAAGAAACTACACAGATGGACAGCTGAACATCTCTCAACAATAAATATAACTGTTTTGAAGTTTCATGGAAGCTGGGTAAAATTATAATCGCTGTGGGGCATCGATGAGAACGCACAAAGAATCCATTAATCACTTTATTGATGGCTCAACATGTGGATCAAGGTGTGGTTACTATAAAGAAGGAATAACAACAACAACATCAGTTACAAATCTAAATCATCGAACACTAATATATTGCTGCTCATGTAACCACAAATTCCTCTTATTAAACAATCATCATAAATTACCAAGGTTTCAATGACATCAAACGACCCAGTATTCAAACATACAACAAACAGTATCCATGGATATAAAGATTAAAATTCCTCAACCAACAATCTGTACAAACAATTCATCTAGCACAAACAATATATCTCCTCTTATGAAATACAAAGTGGCAACTTACACTTGATGCACGCACATAGTCAAGGTCGGCCACATCAGTGGATACATAACCCAAAGGTTTAGAATTTAAAATCCTTAATTTCCACAAGGACTGTGGTCAGTACAAAAAGTACAGTTTGTGAATTCAGAGTAACATTTAGGGCAGCTTTAATGCACTGAATTTCTCTCTCCCAAGAGCCTCCAAAATGTGGTGCGTGAGGCGGATTAAAGGAAAATTTATTCTGATACTCAGCTAGCTGGGCTCTTAGGTCTGGATGCATGGCGTTGAATGCATCTGTGATTTCTCGATCTCCCCCTTTCACCCATTCGCACGTGAGTTTAAAATATTCTAGCTGAGCCCCCAGTGTGAG